GGGCCAGTTGCCTTTTTGAAAGCCATCTTTGGATCATCATGAACAGTGACAATGTATGGCTTATTTTGCATATTTTTTCCTATCCCTTTAAAACCAACAGTGGTAGCCATCAATATATTAAATGTCAGTATGAGGACCCAGATTGTTGTTGGGGGCAATATGCTGACTCTGTAAACCGCTTAGAGAGGGCTGAAAGCCCTATGAAGCGGTATATAAGTCTAACNTTTGATGGGCTTTCGAATGGTGTATGAATTATTTGTGTTGTTATTACAAGTGTTGCTGTGACCCCCTAGGAAAAGGTTATGCCCCGCCCTGTACAATACAGATATTTGCACAAGATTCCCATCTTTCCAATAAAAGCGAGTTCCAGATGAGAGAAGGCAAGGCCTCATTTAACATTTAACATGTGCAACTGACTGGAACTGCTGACAGCACACTTCTGATGTGCCATCCTTTGCATGCTAGCATCTATGCATCACTAAAGCTGTATTCATGCATGTTTTTGGAATTCTGTGGATTTGCACACTACAGTGAAGCATAGATTGATCAAGGCGGCTGGATGTTTGCAGCATGTTAAGCAAGAAAAAGGAAGCTTAACTAAAATTTAACCTATCATTTGACTGAATCAGTCAGATGTTTAATTCACCTGTTTAAACCTATGACAGGAAGAATGCATGCAGTATTTTTAAAAGGAGTCCTCAGGTCAGCTTTTCTCACCACTAAAATTAGCATAAAAACAATCTCCATGTATCAATATAATTAATGAAAGAATAACTATTTAAATCTAGAGAGCAACGAAACACCACAAGGTAAGACATGAATAATCACTCTTCAAATTAAAATTCGATTTGCTTAACACAAGTTGCATGATAAAATGTGTCTCAGGCTGCTTCTGGAAGAGGAGCTGGAAATGTTAGAATCAGGAGACAGTTTTGCTCTGAAAAAAATCGGCCATATCTAATCAAAAGCATGTAGGACTAGGAGTTTTCTATAAGAGTCCTTGAAAGTATACAGAGTTCTTGCAAGACTTCAAAAGGAGGCCTTAGCCAAGACATATACCAACAGAAAGAGAGAGGAGAGACAGAGAGAGAAAGAGGGAGAGAGAGACAGATAGACAGACAGACAGACAGACAGACCATGGACATTTTTGTGGTGACTCTTAAATTAATTTAATTTATTTATTTAGCGTATGGCACGTGTTAGCCAGGGATCACCGAAGCGGCCATCTGCCATCGAGGAAGGAATTTTTTCGGGTGGTGTTATCTTACCCCCAGGATGCCTGAATGCCAGTAGGCAATTGGAGGAGACTCCTTCCTGTCTCTACGCAGTTTATTTACTTACGGGAATTGAGTCGTTGAGTTGCCAACCACAGCGGCGCGCAGGTTCAGCATCTTACCATGTGACCTCCATAAATTAAATTAATGGGGCAGGCTATCAGCTTGCCCACGCTGCCAGCTTTCCAGTTGATAATCTCAGCATCTTTAACCACTGAGCCATTATGCTCCATTGGTCAATTGGAAAGCTGGCAGCCCAGGTTCAAGACCCAAGTGCCACCCAACAGGGCAAGTTCCCATTACTTGCTCCAGCTCCTGCACACCTAGCATTTCAAAAGCATGAAAATGCAAGTAGATAAATAGGTACTATTTTGGTGGGGAGGTAATAGCATTCCATGAGCCTTGCTGTTTAGTCATGCTGGCCACATGACCACATAAATGTCTTTGGATGATGCTGACTCCCTTGGCTAAGGAATGGAGATAAGCACTGCCCCCAAGAGTCAGATATTTTTGCTCATGTATTTAAAACTGTTGGTTGATTTGCAACCAAGGTAAATAATGTTTCTAGATAATTCTTGAGTAGGTACATCCAACTCTTCTTCTCCCACTATTCCAACTTTATCTCTCCTAATTAATATTCCCAACTCCTTCTAATGCACCGTCTATGTTCACATAAATCATTAGCTAGGTCAGCTATGGACATAACAGCTACTTTCACAAACTAAGCTAGACATGGTGAGTGTTAAACTTCATTAGGTTTTCTCTAGTTTAGTATATAGTGCAAACCAAACTATTTGGTTAATTTGTGGTTCAGTGTATTCCATAAACACTCAAAATGGATTAACCCAGTAACTAGCTGCAGCATGTGTTCATTCATTGTTTTGTCACAAAGAAGACATTTTCACAATTGGATGTGGCTGAAGAATTTAAATAATATAACAAATATAGCACATTTTATATTTAAAAAGACATGTTTGCTTTTTTTTGGGGGGGGGAGTAAACTGACTGTTGATCATTGTTATATCAGGGGTGGGATTCTACTAGTTCGGGCAAAACTGTAGTTCCGAAGATCACGAACAAGTGCCCCCCTCCCATCTACCCCTACACTTTACCTACCTTTATCTTCTCAGCTGAGTCGCGTGGCAGAGTAGATTGCTATGCCTCAGCTGTTTCCTTCACAAGCAGCAATACCGTTGGTAAGTATTATCCAAACTGCATATGCATGCATAGCGCACGCTCTGGCTCATGCGTGAGCAAAGCAAGCACACACGTGCAAAGCACATGCTCCGCAAACTGGTTGTTAAACCAGTAGGATCCCACCCCTGCGTTAGATCCTTGACTAGCACTGATGATCCCAAAGGTTGAAAAAGCTTCTTGGATGAGAAGCAAAACGTCTTCAAAAGAAAAACAAGAAAGTCCAGTTGCCTCTTGAAAAAGTACCTTTGGGACAACCGTGACCTGGATGGCTGAGAATCCCCAAAGACATTTAGCACTGATGATGTTACCTAGTTTGGGTAATGAAACGTCTGCAAGAAAACAAGCAAGCTTGGAGGTTCACCCAGGACTCCTCGGGTTATTAGATCCTTAGGTGGCAATAAAACATACATAGTTTTCTGGAAGCACAGGGTATGAATAGGGCAGACAGTGCATAGGAAGTTGGAAAGTTCGTGACCCGTCAAAACCGTGGTCCACAAAAGCGCGATCGACGAAAGCGCGCATTTGACGTCATCACAGCGCGACGAAAAAAATTAAAAATTGAAATAACAATAAAATTAAAGCAAGCCGATTTACATAAAGGTAAGGGTTAGGTTTAGGGTTAGGGTTAGGGTTAGGTTTAGGGTTAGGGTTAGGTTTGGGGGGGGGGTTAGGGTAAGGTTTTCGCTTTATTTTTACATTTTTCCATCACAGCGCGATGTTTTCCTCGCGCTGTGATGACGTCAAATGCGCGCTTTCGTCGACCGCGATTTTGTCGTCCGCGGTTTTGTGGTGGAACCGGAAAGTTACTTTAAAAAAAGAGCCAGGTATTTCATAACAAATAGACATCATTCTGGATTTCCTCTGAAAAGGATGTCATCGCCAATAATCAAAATTCTTCCAAGTATTTTTAATCTAAGCTTCCTCCCTTTGAATAGGATTCTTAAAATGCTGGTTTCTGATTTTTAAAACTTATGATCTTCTGACATTAGAGAATTTGCTATTAGCCCTGGAATATAATGGTAGCGGAATTTTATGCCTTATTTTAGAGGGAACAGCATTTACGTTTGACAGAAGATATGGAAAACAACTTTTATTGTTTGGATGGTAAAAATAAATGTCCTGAAAATCTTACATCGTTAGAATTTGGACAGCTGCTATAAAATTCTTCATCTTCATCTTAAGTGCATTGATAAATAACAAAAGTACCATGGGGGAAATCCATCTTCATTTTTAGAGGTTGCAAAGCATAGTATTTTCTAAAAACAAACTAATAGCAGCTGTACTCTTGATCTACCTGTCCTACTAAGGCAGAACAAAGTATGTCACCTTATGAACTAAACATTGTTATAAATGGACAGGGGAAAAATAATCTTTGAGGAAAACTATTGGTTATTTTGAAAGCCAGATCCTTCATTAGCTTATGGAAGACTATAACAATGAAGACTATAATAAAAGATATGCAGTTCTTTTTATATACTTTACTAGACGATAACCCAGCGTTGCCCAGGTAATTATTTATAGGGGGAAAATGTCTGGAACAAAAGTAAAGTTGGATTACATAATGTTGAAATGTAATGTTCTAATGTTGGATTTTTCCCCTTACAAGAGGGAGCCCCCTTGTGGAGTACTGTGAAGCTGTTACCATGGCAACTCCATTGCGCTGTACAGTAGAAGTCATTTTACAGAAGTACAGTAGAAGCATAATAGGCTGTATCTTAGCAGAACACACCCCCCAAGAGATTTTAGGAGTGTCTTACCCATATATAGTATTTGTTTCCAGAGAGTAAATCATCTGTGTACCAAATTTGGTTGAAATTGCTTGACGTGTTCCAGAGTTATGCTGGAACATAGACACCCAGCCATAGAAAGATAGATAGCTAGATAGNTAGAATTCTTTATTGGCCAAGTGTGATTGGACACACAAGTCTTTGGTGCATATACTCTCAGTGTACATAAAGAAAAATAAAATAGAATACATTCATCAAGAATCATAAAATACAACACTTAGTGATAGTCATAGGTTACTAATAAGCAATCAACTTATAGTAGGAAACAAATAAAACAATATACATTTTAAAAATACAAGCAACATTGTTATAGTCAAAAGTGGAAAGAAATAAGTATTAGGAAAGACATAGGTACTAGGAAGGAAGAGAAGAATAGTAGTAATACAGTCTTAGTAGATAGTTTGACAGTGTTGTGGGAATTAGTTGTTTAGCAGAGTGATGGCATTCAGGAAACAAAAAAACTGTCATTGTGTCTAGTTGTACTGGTGTGCAGGGCTCTGTAGTGTTGTTTTGAGGTTAGAAGTTGAAACAATTTATGTCCAGAATGTGAGGGGTCTGTAGATATTTTCACAGTCCTCTTTCGCAGTGTACAGGTCCTCAATGGAAGGCAGGTTGGTAGCAATTATTATTTTTTGCAGTTCTAATTATCCGTTGAAGTCTGTGTCTGTCTTCTTTGGTTGCAGAGCCAAACCAGAAAGTTATAGAGGTGCAGATGAGAGACTCAATAATTCCTCCATAGAACTGAATCAGCAGCTCTTTGGACAGTTTGAACACAGGTTTGCTCTGAAGAAGAAAGGCAAATGTGTGTGTGTGGGGGGGGAGAAAGAGGATTAAAAAAAATCCCCTCTTGATCTTACTAGGTGGCTGAGTGGGTAAAACACTGAGCTTGTCAATCAGAAATGTTGGCAGTTTGGCGGTTCGAATCCCTAGTACAGGTCTCCTGCGTAAACAGGGGGTTGGACTAGATGACCTCCAAGGTACCTTCCAACTCTGTCACTGTCTATCTAAAGATAGCTCAGCAATATCTTGAGTTGGCTTTTTCATTTTCTACTTAGAGTCTTAATAACATGGCCAAAATCAGTCCTAAAGGTAGTGATGATGAAGCCACACACATCATTTGGTTTTCAAGATGAGATTGCACTGTTATTATATTACATTAGAATCTTGCCATTAATGTTGGAAGGGGGAGGAACAATAATCATGATTTCATTTTAGCAATGTATTCGGGAGGAGTGGCAGAGAGACTGAATTGCTGGAATAGTCATGATCTTCATGAAGGCCAGTATAACTACAATTACCTGCTGTTTCTCATATTCATTACTTTTCAAAGCTGACAGTTATTATGTGCTGCTAGAAGTGACAGTGTATGTTCCCTTATGGCTTTTCTTCTCTGCCTTTTAAAAGTACGTTTAAACAGAAAAAAATTCAATCTGCAGTGCACCATGTCAATTTTCACTTTAAGATTTTAGCATCAACCTCTTTATTCTATAGTCACTCGCTCAGAAGTCATGAGAAAATCCAAACTTTTCAATAATTAAAAGTATTCAGCAACCCTGTGTCCATGTATTCAGACATTTGGGATGTTTGTGCATGAGTCTTATTTCATGTGTGTTTAGTACTACCAGACCTCGGCTGCAAAAATCCAGATGGCCACTAGATGGTGCCAAAAGGAAAGTGGCTCTTTGATACTCTATATTAGTTTCTTAGATTTTTGCAATCCAGCCCTAGGTTAGGTATGAGTATCATTGAATGAAAGTAACCAATGAAGCAACATTATTACTGGCAGTAAAGATTTGCTGTGACTGCTGTGGTTCTGTTCATAATCCATTGGCTGGTCCAGTAAAGGGCAAAATAGCATTCAGGAAAACATTCAAGTTGACAGACAGGTTTATGGTTTGTTTAATACAGGGATAGGCAGTCAGTTCCCCAAGGGACCACATGGAAAACTGGAAATGCTGAACCAATAGGGCTATGAAGGTGCCTAAAAACATGCACATGTGCAAGCACACAAAGACATAGTCTCTGTCTGTCTGTCTCTCTGTCTCTCTCTCTCTCTCTCTCTCTCACACACACACACACACACACACAAACACACACACGAATAAATATATATATTCAACCCAGGCCTGTCATGACCCTGAACCGGTTCTCCGGGCAGCGCTGTATTGTTTTTTGCTTCTGCACATGGACATGGCATCACCCACATGGACGCGTGCAGCGCATGTGCCATAATTGCCTGCAACACTTCTGCAAGCCCCCGCGATGCTCCAGCTGCTCAGCGAAGCATCGAGCAGGTGCCGTATGCGCTATGTGTGTGCGCGGAAGCCCCAAAGGCTTAAAGCACAGTTAAGGAGCTTGGGCAGGCGGGTAGACCCTCTGGAGTACCGTACCAGAATGGTATCCGGTGCTCCGGGCAGGCTCCGGTACACCCGTACTGCGGTGTACTGCCTGCAACACACCACTGATGCGAGTGCACCTCTTGTCAGCCAGTTGGTCTTTAGGTCTCTGCCGCGCATGTGCGGGGACCAGGACGCATGCAGTGGACATGCACGTGCATGCACATACATGCATGGGGGCACATGCATGGGGCGGGTTGCATGCACAGGGGTAGAGCACAGGGGGTCAAATATGCATGCCCAGGGGTCAGGGCACACAGGGAGGTCACAAGGGCATTGCATTATGGGTGCGGGCATGCGGATGCACACGCTTTAGGCTCGAGATGACAAAAAGGTTAGCGATCACTAACATAGGCCCAACAGGGACAGTCAAAGGGCCAGAGGTATCCCGGGGGCCATAAAATACCCAGCTCTGGTCTAATAATTCTGATGCAACAATCCATTGGAATCAGGGATGGGTATGGATTGACTCTAGAAAGATGATTACATAGGATGCTGTCTCTTAATTTCTACAGATGAAAGGGAGGAAAAATGAGAAGCCCTTAAGGGACTTTCCCAAGTGTCCTGTGACTGTGGGAAGAGAGTGGATGCTCACAATGAATGAGTTTTATTTTAGGATGCTTTTTAGTACTCTTTCTGGCTCTTAATCAATCTGAGTCCGAAATCATACCTTGTTTTTATGCTTAGCTCTTTCATGGCTACATCCTTATCCCCTCTTGTAATTCTGAATAATTGTTCCATAGATTAAATAGGTTTAATGTTTAAAAGGTGCCTCAATGCAAGGACACTTCATGGCTTTGTCAAGTCACCAAGAGGCTGAAGCTTCACTCGATCCTGTGGTGCAGATTCATGTTCTTTTATCCCAGCAAGCGTTCCTTTGGGTCTCTGGGCTGTGAGCTTTGTTTAGCCTGGGAAACATTCCGGATTGGAGTTTTCAGATCTTTTACACAAAGTAGCAGTCTTGGCTTTCATGAGATCCAAGTGAGAAAATAGTGAAATATGTATTCAGAAAAACTGTTAACCCTGTTGAGAGTTCCTTTTGCATTCAGATGAGATGCGGATGCAACAATCAGCTCTAAGCCTCATCATTCAAATGCAGCCAGAATGATCTTTGTGTTGGGCAAATATAGACTGACTGACTCACATGCTGGGATCATTTTTACCTGTTGCAAAGGAGCCAATTATCACACAAGGCAAGAAATAGCAAACTTTACATAGAGCAACCAAGAGGTGCTCTCAGGACCCATATCACAAACAACAACAACAACAACAATAATAATACCAAAGTTGGATAGGATCTTGGAGTTCTTCTATTACAACCACCAAGAGCCTTAATACACAACTTAGCATCTTTATATATTTCCTCCCTCCCCCCCCCCCATGAACAAGCAACAGGCAAGAAGCTGTAAATTATTCACTGTAGTAGATGACCAAGTTAAGTCCAAGTGTGGGGTCAAATGTGCCATCAGTCTCGAATGACTTCATGCCCACAAGAGATCTAAGTCCAGCCCACCTGAAATTCTCTTGACTCTTATCTACTGCCAAATTGCTTTGACCATTGTAGAATGCTTTAGTATGCAATAAACCTATGTGTTCATTTGAACTGCCCAGAGTCCTGAATTCCTGCGCTTGATATGATGAAACCATCTTCTAGAAGGGCTATCCTCTACAAGGGATTTTAATCACTAATAGAGAATAGACCTTTCAGAAGATGGGTTCATTACTGAAATATTCTATCCTATTCTGTTTTTAACTGATACGGATGGAAGATGAATTTGCAAAACTTTCTAGCTGGTGCAGTGGTTAGAGTGCAGTACTGCAGGCTACTTCTGCTGATCACCAGTTGCCAGCAGTTTGGCAGATCAAATCTCACCAGGCTCAAGATTGACTCAGCCTTCCTTCCATCTTTCTGAGGTGGGTAAAATGAGGACCCAGATTGTAGGGGGCAATATACTGACTCTGTAAACCACTTAGAGAGGGTTGTAAAGGTACTGTGAAGCAGCATATAAGTCTAAGTGCTATTGCTATTGCTAATTTATGCACAAAGGGAAAGGGAAGTCAACTTGAATCTACCAATAGGGGACAGAAACGTATTTTTCATTGATAACAATAACCCTCTGATCCCTCCAGGAATGTGCACGGTAGAGTGAGGGCTCAAAAAGGGGAGCAATGAAGAACAAGAATAGAAAAAATAGCTTTTCTAACAAAAAAGGGGCTTGTGGGATCCTTGATGCTCTCTGAGCTTAGTTGTTTTCCTGCCGACATTTCATTACCCAACTATGTAACTTCATCAGTGCTAATGGTGGTTGGGTAATGAAATGTCGGCAGGAAAGCAACCAAGTTTAGAGATACCAAGGACCCCACAGTTCAACCCTGAGCTATACATATTCTTTCCTATTGGAAAAACTGGATTTCTCTAGCTTGAAACTAGTTATGTCACTTCCTTTCTTCTTCATCTAAC